TCCACGGACGGCGGCGGTCAGATCCACGGACGGCGGCGGTCAGGTCCACGGACGGCGGCGGTCCTGAGAGATGCGGTGTGGGCGGCACCAGCTCAGGCTGTGCGGGAGGAACAACGTCTCCGGGGAAAACCGGGCCCCGGGGGTCACGTCAGTTAGGGGGAGAAGGAAGTGACGACAACTGTCACTGTTCCTCAGGGCCTGGGGACCAGAGTGGGGCGGGGTCGGCTCTGCGTGGACCGGGGAGGAGCTTCGCTCCCACCTCCCGGAGACCGGGGCCAGGGCCCCGCCCGACCACGCCCGCCCGACCACGCCCACCCGACCACGCCCACCCGACCACGCCCACCCGACCACGCCCCCAGCCCCTCACTGGGGATTCTGGGCGGGGCTCCACCCTGACCACGCCCCCAATCCCTCACTGGGGATTCTAGGCGGGGCTCCACCCTGACCACGCCCCCAATCCCTCACTGGGGGATTCTAGGCGGGGCTTCACCCTGACCACGCCCCCAGCCCCTCACTGGGGATTCTAGGCGGGGCTCCACCTGACCACGCCCCCAGTCCCTCTCTGGGGATTCTGGGCGGGGCTCCACCCTGACCACGCCCCCAGCCCCTCACTGGGGATTCTGGGCGGGGCTCCACATGACCACACCCCCAGCCCCTCACTGGGGATTCTGGGCGGGGCTCCACCCTGACCACGCCCCCAACTTTCTACTTAAATTTTTGTGGGGTGCGCATGTGCGCCGTTACGCATGCGGAGGCCGCGGCTGGAGTCACGTGTCTTGCTCCGCGGCTCCCCGGACCCCTCCCGCAGGCTCCCCACGAACCCCTCTTTCCCACATCCGAGATGGGGTCTCGCGCAGGCTGACCTTAGCCTCACTGCGCCGCCCTGCCTGGCCTTGAGTGCAATGCCCCTGCCTCAGCGCCCTCCGCAGTCGCCGTCCCTCCTCGTCTGGATTCCCCTGGAAGCCTGCAGGGGGCGCAGCCCGACCCAATCCATGTAAAACAAAACCCAGCCTCGCCCGGGCTGGGGACCCTTTGACTCACCCTTGGGGGGGTCTGGAAACCCCCGTGTCTCTGCCCCAAAGATGGTTTCAAGGGCGCCCCCCCAGCCCTCAGGCGCCCCGCCCCCGCCGCGTAGGGAACCAGGCCGCGGCTGCGCGTCCATTTATTTTTGTTTTCTCTGGTCGTGGATTTGCATAGGAGCGCTGCACCATCTCAGGGGATTTTTTTCCTTCTTGCACCTGCTCGGGACGAGGCCGGGAGCTGTGCTTTCCCCTCAGCCAATGGGGAGAGGAGGATGCGAGCAGGGGGCTGGATCTGTCTGTCAGGCCTGGACCCGCCCCCTGCACACAAAAGCGGCTTCCTTCACTATCCGGGGGCAGGCAGAGCCTCAGCCATCCGGGCAGGAGCCAGCCGAAGCCGCGCAGGCCCGGGGCTGCGATGGCGGGGGACACCGGGGCCGCGGGGGGACACGGGTGCTGCTGCTGACCCGGCACCCGCTTCTCCAGGGGGCCGGGGGGCCGCTGGCCACGCCGCCCGGGGTGACCTTCCTCGGATGTGGACTCGCCCCTGAGCATCCTTCCGCCAGGCCCCGGCCTGGGTACCACCCGGGAGATGCCCGCCTGCATCCGGGCCCGGCGCGCCTTTGTGTCTCAGTGACAGCGGAGCCGCCGCCGCGGTGAGTGGGGCCTTTGCAGACTGGAAACGTAAACTGTCATTTTGTCCCCCTGCCAGCAGCCCAGCCGGGGGGAAGGTTTATCCGGGAGACGCTGGCGGCTCCCGGTGTGGATGCTGCGACGGGGCGGGCAGCCCGGGCTGGGTCCGGGGTGGATCCGGGGTGGGTCCGGGGTGGAGAGCGAAGAGATTAAAGCCCAGCGCCGAGCCGGAGCATCCTGGGGGCGGTAAACCTCCAATGCGGTGTCGGATGCTTTCTATTTATAACCTGACTGCGGGCCGGGAGGCATCAAAATCGCACATACATTAAAAGGACAGGTTTTGCGCCGTGGCCACCGGGCCAGGGACCTGCGCTGTTTGTCCTGGAGTCGCCGGCGCCCAGGAGACCCACCACACCCAGTGCTCGGAGTGTGCGGATGGGGGTCGTTCCCGCCCACACCCCGCCCGGCATGAGGGACCCGAGCCCCCTCCGTGCAGACACAATGGATGCTCAGCTGCGCCGGGGGAGGCCTGGAGCACACGGGGGTCGTTTTTTCTCCGTACTGTGGGTCTGTCCTGCCGGCGCTCCTCCATGAATGGGTGATGACATGGGAGTCGGCCCCGCCTCCCTGGGCTCCTGCGGCCGTGGTCACCTGCCGGCCTGTCCTCCCCGGCTGCCGGAGACACACCCCAGCCGCCAGCCGCAGATGGCCCGGCAGTGACAGCCAGGACAGGCTAGTGGCCCTTGTGTCAGGATCAGGGAGCCGACGAGGGGTGGCACCCCGTGACTGGGCCCTGGAATCCTGTTGTCAATATGGAAACAGGGGAACAATCATGATTTCACAGATGTGGCCCTGTGGGTGCCAGGGTTTGGTTTGGGGGCGTCCTTAGTTGTGTGTGGGGGGTGTCTGTGTCGCAACACCGGCCTCCAACGCGAAGCGCTTCCACCAGATAGTCTGGGGAGTCCACACAGCACCCCGCTGGGGCGCGGGAGGCGGCAGGGGTCACGCACAGGCAGTAAAACCGCGAGTTCAGTCCCCGCACCCATGGCACAAGCCAGGTGTGGTGGCTCCTGGGAACCCGGAGCTGTTGCCATGCCGACCACCTGACTTTGCTCCCTGGGACCCACATGGGAAGGGGGCAACTCCAACAAAGGGGGGGCTCTGACCTCCCTCCCTGAAAGTCCACACAGTGCACACACCCCACACAGGGACAAAACGGTAACTAATTCAAAAAGGTGGCCCGAGTGGGCAAGTGACACACAGAGTTAATGCCAGCACTCGGGGCCGAGGTGGGACGAGTTCCAGGAGAGCCAGGCTACACAGACAGAGCCTCTCTGTCCCTGTCTCTGTCTGTCTGTCTGTCTGTCTGTCTCTCTCTCTCTCTCTTGGTCCCTCTCTGTCCCTGTCTCTCTCTCTCTCTCTCTCTCTCTCTCTCTCTCTCTCTCTCTCTCTCTCTCTCTCACACAAACACACCAAACTGTAATCATAGCCTGGGCTGTGGAGGTGGCTCAGTGGTTAGAGTACTAGCTGCTCTGCTCTCAGAGGACCTGGGTTA